CTCCTGTCTTGTGCTGTCCCTCTTTCCTTATAAGTATGATGTTCCTTTCCAAGGACTGGTTCCTCCTGGCAACGTACCCAAATGTATATTGAGACAGAGCTTCAAAACGTTGCCTCCAAGGAACAACTTGGTTTTACTTTTTCCAGAACAAATCTGTCTCCTTCAGCACCACAACTCAAAGGCATTGGCTCTTCTTGTGCCATCCCTAACCACTGTCCAGCTTTCTGATGATGCTGTTGTTACCGTTGTTTTTATGTGCCATCAATTCGCCTGCAACCCATAGCGACACTATGTACAGCAGCTCTGAACCCTTTCCTGTCCTGAGCCAGTCTCACTAATTCTGACACACAAACCCCCGTCACCCCAGTTAGTGTATCAATCGTTCTCATCCAGAGTCTTCCTCTTCTATGCTTTCTTTCCACCCTTCCAAGCATGATGTCCTTCTCTAAGGACTGGTCTGTCCTGGCCAGATGCCTAACGTATGTGAGACGAAGCTTCAAAATCCTAGCCTCCAAGGAGAAATTTGGTTTCACCCTTTCCAAGACAGACTTATTTATTTTCTTGGTGGTCCATGGTATGTTCAAGACTCTTCTCCAGCACCACAACTCAAAGGTATCAAATATTCTTCTGTCATCCTTAGTCATTGTCCATCTCTCTGATGCATAACAAGTAATTACAAAGATCATGGCCTGGATTAGGTGCACCTTAGTCACTAGGCTGACATTGTTGCTTTTCAGTACTCTGGAGAGTTTCCTGACAGCAGATTTTCCCAGTGCATTTTGTGTTTTGATTTCCTGCTTGCTGATGTTAAGAATGTTCACTGTGGAGCTGAACAAGCAGTAATTATGAACAACTTCAATCTCTTCTCCATCTATAATGGTTCTGCCAATTTGCCCAGGGGTGAGAATTTCTCATGAATAGCAAACAATTGTGAAGACCATATCCTGGATCAATCACACCGAAGTCTCCAGACTGAAATCGCTGCTCTTTAGCATTCTGGAGAGTTCCCTGATAGTAAACCTTCCTAATGCAATTTGTATTTTGATTTCCTGACTGCTGAAGCCAAGTGTGCTGGTTGTGGATCCAAGCAAGGTGAAATTGTTAACAATCTCAAATCTGTTCTCCATCTATCATGGTGCTTCCAGTTGGCCCTGTGCGAGCTCCCTATAATGTTACTGTGTTTTGATTTCTTGTGCTTCACAGAGTGTGTGTGTGATATGTGTGTGACAGATGAAGGTTTGCGGCATGTCCATGTTGAGCCAGTCAGCACCATTTTTTTTTCCAACAGCATATTCTTATATGTGACTCTTAGTCACATTCTGGTAATTTTAGTAATATTTCAAGATTGCCATGGATTCACACACTTCACAGACTTCGAAACCAAAACCCACCCAAATGCAACTGCTGTTGTGTCAGTCCTGACTCATAGTGACCCGCAATGACTGTAAATAATGTACTCTTATCCAGGAGATGAGTCTGCCTGTTTTTCTCCCACAGAACAATGTATGGACCTCTCAGCAGCACAACACTTAACAAATACTCCTTGTCATCAGAACTCCTTTAATAGACCATGTTATTGTTGTTGTTGTTTCCTGTAGAGTCAGAACTGAACCACAGCTGACCCTCCGGTGGGTTTTCAGAGGCAGGTAATTGAATGAGAGGAGATTGTTCATCCTTCTCCCACGGAGCATCTGGTAGATTTGAACCACATGCCTTCGGGATTGCAGTGCAGCTACTTGCCTCTAGGCCACCAGAGTTCTCTGCTTAGTAGACCATAGTGCAGTGAAAATGTGGTTCTGCACGCACTGGGCAACAAACGACCAACACATCTCCATGTGACTTCCTTTATTGAAATACCTACCGTCTCTATTGCCATGGTCTGGAACCGAACCCATGGTATCTTGGAGGTGTGCTGAATCCTTGCGTGATTCTTTCTCATTCTGAAATTTGTTGGGGGGAAAACCAAACCCCTCACACATCTGCAACTTTTTATTTTATAGCTTGAATTTTTCTCTTTGGCCCATCTGGAATTTAACAGAGTCTAACTTACTTGTTAGACAGAGTCTAACTTACTTGTTAGACAGAGTCTAACTTACCTGTTGCCCAGTTGACTACCTGTTGTGATATGCCATTGAGTTGCCTGCGACTCATAGTGACCCTATCTTTGTACAACAGCTCTGAACCCTGCCCTGTCCTGAGCCAGTCTCACTGTATCTGACACACCAATCCCCATTATCCCAGTTACTGTTGTCAATCTTTCTCATCCGGGGTCTTTCTCACCTGTGCTGTCCCTCCACCCTCCCAAGCATGATGTCCTTCTCCAAGGACTGATCTCTCTTGGCCATGTGCCCAAAGTATGAGATAGAGCTTCAAAATCCTAGCCTCCTTTACTACCTAGTTGTCCCCAAATAGAGACAAATAATTAAAGAATCTACTTCCTCCACATTGATTTGAAATGTCCCTTAAAGAGTATTCTAAATTCTCACTCATGAATAAGAGGAAGGCTCTGGAACACACACACACACACACACACACACACACACACACACACACACACCGAGAGAGAGAGAGAGAGAAAATATTTCATGGGTGGAATTCAAGGAGGCAGAAATGACAAACTTTCTGCACTTGTCTTCTGAAAGGAACAATGTGAAAACTGGACCATACCAAAACAAGGCAACTGCATGTCAGGCAGCAAACAGAAAAGTGTTCCTTGTATTGGGAGAAGTGGGCACACTGCTGCCTTGTGGGTAGCCTCTCAGGCTGTGGCTGACCGGTTTAGGGACAGATACCACCTCACGATGCCCCATCTGGGTCTCTCCTCTCCGCTGGTAAGTCCTCAGCGTGGCTTGTGTAGTAAGAAAACCAGTGATTGTTAGCCTCCATCCCTGACATCCTGTGTGTCCTCCCCATCCCTCTGGGCTGCAGCAGGGCTTTTAAATCAACCCCTCAGTATTCCAATCTCTGTCCCCTCCAGCCTCCTCTCCTCTGAAAAATACCAGACCATCTGCTTTAGAGTTGATTCCCACTCCCTGAAACCCCGCACGTCTCAGAGCGGAATTGTGCTCGCAAGGTTTGCAGGCTGAGCCGGTGATCAGTCAGCAGGTGGATCAGAGCCCTGGCTGAGGAGTGTGTGGTGTGGCCGACTGCTAACTGAAGGTCGGCTGTTTGGATCCACCAGTTACTCAGAGGGAGAAAGACACTCAGCCTCTTCAGATTTTACCGCCTTGGAAGCATAACACAGGGTTGTGATGAGTTCCAGAGGACTCAGTGGCACTTTGATTGGGTTTCATTTAGGTAGCTCACCGAGCCTTTCTTCAGAAGCACCTCTGGGTGGATTCAAACCCTCAACATTTTAGCTAGCAGGCGAGCGCCCAACTGTTTGCACCACTTAGGGACTCCAGGAAACCTTGCAAGGAAAAGTGCAGAACTGTGGTATCTCAGGTCTCAGCGACTTGGCTGGATTTCAGGGCCCGTCTCTCATACTCCAGCCTGACTCACCCACACCTCTCTCCCTGCACTGGATTGTGTCAGGTCTAGGCCCCCACCTGCACGGCCAGGGACGAGGGGCAGGATTGTCAGCAGCAGAAGCTACTCCCAGGCTTCCAAGTCTGGTACTTGCCAAGTCACTGCTGTCATAGATAGGGGTGTGTCCTTCCAAACGTGTGTGGGCTTGGCTAGGCCAGGATTCTCAGTGGCTTGGCAGTTACCCAGTGACATGCTAACAAGTCAACTACAGAGGTCTCTGATTAAAACAGGCTGGGAAGCAGGAGCGGCATCCACTCCCGAAATAGCTTGCCTCCGGAAACTCTATGAACTTAGACAAACGATGAAAGTCATACAAGTGTTCAGATCTTTGATTCATAGGGTCACTCTCCAGGTTGTCTACAACTTGACGGCACTGAACAATGACATAACTCAGCAACCCTATAAACAACACAGTGAGGTCTTGCCCTAGCTCTCTGCCATGCTCAAGTTCATTGTTGCAGTCTCTGTCAGTCCATCTGGTTGAAGGTCTTTCTCTCTCTCACTGACTCTCTGCTTTTTCCAGCATGATGGCTTTTCCCAAGGTGAGTCCCGACAACATGCCGGGTCATCCCTCACTGCGTGTTCTGATATGACCAGCTTTAATCTGATGTGAGGGAATTAAGTGCAAGTTTTTCACAGGTCATAACCATGATGTAAGAGGAGTTTCCCTGGGGAGTGTGGTCTATCCTTGAGAGAGAGAGGGAGAGGGAGAAGGAGAGGGAAAGTAAGGAGGAGAGGGAGCGGGAGAGGGAGAGGGAGAGGGAGAAGGAGAGGGAAAGGAAGGAGGAGAGGGAGAAAACACACTAACTATATAACAAAGAAAGAAGAGCTAGGGGTGTATCCCTTGAAGCTGTGGGCTCTGCCCTGTAACCCAACTAGTGTCAGGGGCAGACTGATGACCAAAGCTTGCTCCTGGCTTTCTCAGAATTCTGAGTTCTAGCCACCTAAACCGTAAGAGAATTTATCTGTTCGTTTTAGTCACCCACTTGTGCTATTTCTGATTTAGCAGCACTCGAGAACTAAGATAACAGCCCCTTTCCCTCATGTTGGTTGTGACTCATGGTGACCTTTTGCACAGAGTAGAATTGCCCCTGAGGGTTTTCCAAGACTGTCCATGTTTATGGAAGCGGAATGCCTCGTCTTCCTCCCGGGGAGTGGGTGGAGGGTTCCAATCACCCTCCTTTCAGCTGTAACCGAACACATAACCGCTGCACCACCAGCGCTCCGCTTCCCACACACTTCTTCCTACAGATCAGTCTCCCAAGAATATTCACTCCTCCTCCTCCCGGCCCCCACACACCATCAGAGCTGCCAGGAACAGTTGTTTATTACAAGGTATTTAACAGGTAGAAATGAGCGTTAGATGGAGAAGACCCGGAGAAGATGGGGGACGGCTCCTCTCCCCAGAACATTTCTGTGGGGCCCCAGGTGCCCCAAGTTGGGTGGTGTCAGTGGCCCAGGTGCTCCTGTCCTCAAGTCAGCCTCAGAACTTTGCCCAGGAAAAGGCTGCTCCACGTGAAGTTGTCGAACATGGCGATGATGAAGGGCCGGTTCAGTTTAAAATAGTAAGGCGTGTCCGTTGAATTCACCGTCAACTTCTGGCCTCCCTCAGAGGCGACAGCACTTCCCTTTATCCCGGTCTCATCCAGGTACAGCACAGCCTTGTGGACCACCTGTTGGATGTGGACAGAGACAAGAGGGTGGCCCCAGCATGGCGGCAAGAGTGCGCCTGGCCTGCCTCACACACTCGGTTCTGTGGACGGTAGAACTGGCCTCAAGGGCAGGTTGCTGGCTGGATTCTCACCTTAGCAGCTGCTGTGGGCCCAGCACTCAGCCATAGTCTCTAGAAATAACTCCCTGGTGGCTTCTCTGTGTGGGTTTCATGTGGTTTACTTTCTCATAGCAAGCTGGGGCTTTTTAGCTTAAAAAGAGCCCGAGATACTAATATATAAATAACTAACATATAAATATATAACCAACATAAAAATATATGCATAGCTTGTTGTTTCACAAATAGCCCAAAGAAGCAGAGTTTAAGCTGCCTAGAGCCCCTCTGCTTTGTATAGCTGGAGAAGCTGCACCCAACATCTGCTCAACTCAAGAAACTCATTGCTGGTCCAGTCGGAACCAACTGATAGCTGACCCTCCACTGGGTTTCTGAGTCTGTCAAGTGCATGGGAAGAGACTGTCCGTCTTTCTCCCTCAGAGTCACTGGTGCGTTAGAAGAGTCAGAGAGATGCTGCCTTTGGGCTAGTGCACCTCCGTGTGGACTGCATCCCCCTAGCGCTCCTTTCCCTTCTAGACAGGAGAAAAGTCCTGCATCAGAGAGCTGCCAGTGACCAAGGAGGGCAGAAGAAGAATTGGTGCCTTTGAGTTGTGGTGCTAGAGAAGAGCATTGAACATACCATGGGCCACCAAGAGAACAAATCAGTCTCTCCTGGAGAAGGTGAAACCAAGTTACTCTTTGGAGGCTAGGATTATGAAGCTGCATCTCACAGACTTCGGGCATGTTGTCAGCAGGGACCAGTCCTTGGAGAAGGACATGATGCTCACTCCAAAGAGTGGAGGGACCACACAGGAGAGGAGGACCCCGTATGAGATGGATTGACACAGTGATTAGGGCACTGGGTGTGTTGGAGTCAGTGAGACAGGCTTAGGAAAGGGCATTCTTCAGAGCTATTGTACACAGCGTCACTAGGAGTCACAGGGGACTCGGTGGCACGTAACAACCACCACCTACACAATGATCAGGTCAGCTACTAGTGGATGGAAGGTTTGGTTGGGACACCTGGGCTTCCAAGTCGACATTGGTACTTCTTTCCAGATCTTAGACTGCTAGAGAAATAGGCATCTGACTTTCTCAAGCCCTCTGCGCCCTTTCCATTCTGTTAAATAAATTCTGGAGTTCAACTGATGTAGAATGCTGTGCCCATTCTATGTGCAAAAGCCCAGACAGAATTCATGGTGCCACCTGCCTGTTGAAAAGACCCTTTTGTGATCAGAATTCATAGGCATTCTGAGACCAGGTAAACGCTTGGCGAGTTCTGTCCATCATTGCCTTCGACAGCACGTTCATTACCCGGCTCGCACCAACAGCCGCCTTTGAGTGAACTCTCACTGGGGCTTCATCAAGGACTCAGAGGCTCTGGAGCTGTGTGCATGGACACGAGTGGCCGGAACGAAGCTGTCAAGGGTTCAATCCCCGACTTACATCTTAAAAAGAGGAGGCTTTGAGTCAACTAGATATGTGTTGTCAACTGAAGCTGTCACTTATTAACTGTGTGTCACTTATTAACTTCACCTTTCCTGGGCCTATAAACCCTTAGATGGCTCATCCCTGCACCAAGCTGAGGGGGAGCACTGGTTGATTGGTGGTGAGGAATCACGCTGCCAACACAAAGGTGGTTGTTGTTTTGTGCCATTGAATTGCTTGCAACTCATAGCGACCCTGCGTACAAGAGCCCTAAACGCCGTTCTATCCTGTGCCAACCTTGCCGTCTCAAACACACTCATTCCCACCACTCCACTCACAGAATCGATCCATCTCATTGAGGGTCTTCCTCTTCTGTGCTGTCCCTCCACTCTCCCAAACATGATGTCCCTCTCCAAGGAACAGTCCCTCCTTGCAACATGCCCAAAGTATGTCAGACGAAGCTTCAGAATCCTTGACTCCAAAGAGCACTCTGGTTTCACCCTCTCCAGGACAAACTTGTTTGTTCTCCTAGCAGTCCATGGTATATTCAACACTCTTCTCCAGCACCACAGCTCAAAGGCATCAATTCTCTTTCTATCATCCCTATTCACTGTCCAACTCTCCAATGCATACCACGTAATTGCGAAGACTATAGTCTGGATCAGGTGCACCTTAGTCTCCAGCCTGATGTTGTTGCTCTTCAGTACTCTTAAAAGGTCCCTCACAGCTGACTTTCCCAATGGAATTCGTCTTTTTAGTTCCTGGCTGCTGGTACCAAGACTGTTGACTGTGGAGCCAAGTAAACTAAAACTGTTAACTATCTCAATCTCTTCACCATCCATAATGATGCTGCCAATTGGCCCAACACGGTTCAAATCCACCAGCTGCTCTGTGGGAGAAAGCTGGGCAATCCACTCCTGTGAGATTTACTGTCTCTGAAAAATCTGCAGGAGGATCAACTAAGAGTCGCTTCCAACTCAATGGCACTCAGCAACACTACCACCTCCAAGCAGATTTCTCCTCTGCGAAATTGGCATGATGCCACCTTATGGAAATGTAAGGAGCCCTGGTGGCACCATGTGTAAGTGCTCCAGGTAACAGAATAGGCGCTGTGGGAAAAAGACCTGGCCATCTGCTTCCCTCAAGTCCACAGTCTAGGGAAGGCGAGGGGGAGACTTTATTCTGTCACTAGAATCTCTATGCATGAGCCCTGGTAGGGACCCCTGACACACAGCATTATAAGGTGGTAGCTGTACTGATGCAGGTCACCCCCATGAGATGTGATTTACTGGGCACATACTCCATGTTGGGCTCACCAGTGGTCCCCAGATTCTTGCACTGGGGAAGGGGTTGCTGCCACTACCTCATGCCTCCTTTTCCTTCTCCATCAGCCCCCCCCCCCAGGACTATAGGGGCTGTGTCTTGGGTGGTTCAGGCATTACAAGTACCCAGCACAGCTGGGGACACACAGTGGCTGGTCACTCATTTTCTGAATGAATGAATGAATGAATGACTTACAGAGCATCAAAGTGAAGAGTAAAGACGATGGGCGTCTGTGGACAGCTCGGGGTCCCCCTGCTCTTCCTGTGGGGCTGCTCACAATGTTGCCATGGTAACTTTATTCTTCGAAGAACCCCCTCTGGTGGTCAGGCTGGGATGAGTGACCTGAGCCATCACCCTTCCCTGTCACTAGCTTTCTGTGTGATCTCGAAGAGGTCACATTTCCTTGCTGAACCTCCCGGCCACCATCTGGGTCTCTTGAACACTGGGCTGAGCTTGTTGTTGTTGTTGTTAGGTGCCGTCAAGTAGAGTATGACTCATAGCGACCCTATGAACAAAAGGTCTGCCCCCGGTTCTATTGTGTACTGTCCTCACACTTCCTGACACACAGAGCCCATTGTGGCAGTTACTGTGTCAATCCACCCTGTCAATTTCTCTCCTTCACGAACCCTCCAGCCTTCCCAGCATCACGTCCTTCTCCAAGGAATAGCCCCTCCTCGCAACATGCCCAGAGTATGTGAGGTGAAGCCTCATCATTCTTGCCTCCAAAAAGCACTTGGGCTGCACCCGCTCCAAGCCCTGTTTGTTCTCTTGGCCGTCCATGGGATGTTCAGCGCTCTTCTCCAACACCACAGCTCAAAGGCTCAATTCTTCTTCTGTCATCCTTCTTCACTGCTTAGCTTTTAGGGCTGAGCTTACTGTTGCTTATTGTTGTTATTTTCCCTGTGAATTTTTGGAAAATGAAAGAGAAGGGATCCTAAGACACTTACCTTGGATACCTTCAGCGGGGCCTCTGGGGTGATCCCTGAGAAGTTTGCCCGGTCGGTGAACAGGTCTGCCAGGCCCATGTCCGCCAGTACGCCGCTGAGGTCATACACTCCGGAGAAAGAGAACTTCGGGATGGACAGATACATATGCCTGCCCGAGAGCAAGCAGGGCGTCAGATGGTCCTCCCCCGGGGCCACACACGGGCAGTCGTCCCGTCCCTCCAGCCTTTGGCTCCCTGCCCCATCTCCCGGATGGCCCCTACAGTCCTCTGCCCAGTCTGACAGGGAAGAGGTCGGGTGACAGGGCCGGTCAGCTATACACTCATTTCTTCTTGGCTTTTTTTTCGAGCCTATTTCACCTACACATTCAGGTCAAATCGCTGCTCAGAGCTTCTAGGTGAGTGAGGACCATGAGACGTCCCTTGGCCTCTCAGGCACTCGATCACCCCCAATATGAATGTGGGTCACAGCAGAGGGTGGAGGGAGCACGGGGCTGACAGTGGAAGAATGCGGTGGCACCAAGCTGACACCAAGTCACAGCTCTGCACTGAGCCAGTCACCTTGTCCCCAGGCTGACACCAGGTAACGGAGCTGAACCGAACTGGTCACCTTGTCCCCAAGCTGACACCAAGTCACAGCTCTGCACCGAGCCGGTCACCTTGTCCCCAAGCTGACACCAGGTCACAGCTCTGAACTGAGCTGGTCACCTTGGCATGGAGATAGAGAGCTGCTGCCAACACACAGATGGGGGGAGGGAGGGAATAGGGGGGACGAAGAGGAAGACTCCAGAGAGGACGAGTCCAGAAGGCTTCCTTGCACCCGGTGACTGACAAAGCTCCCCACACTGATGGGCACCATGTGGGGTGAGGAGGGAGGGTGAGGATGGCCAAAGGGCCTGGCTACAGGGGGAGGTGAGGAATCACAGGGCCTATTTCTTGGACAAAGGTGGGCATAATCATTTTTATTGACTAGAAACGTGAGTACTCATGTCTAGTCAGTAATAGAGCTGAACGTACAACCCTTTATTCTCTTCTTGGGAGAAACGTGTCTGTCAACCTTGATAACGCTACAGCCTTGGGGACCCGTGGGGCAGCTCTGTTATCATAGAGTCGCTGCCTCAGAAACAGCTGATGGCAATGGGCGTGATTCTTAAAGGTGTATTTTATCTTGAGTAGTTTTGCCCTGTGAAATTTTTGAATAAATGGCACGTACTGTTGATTAATGTTGTCCAAATGACGTTATTTTCTTGAAGAAATGCTTTATGTATAAACAAAATCATCCTTCACTTCATGGTCATAAACTAAGGGCATCATAGATTTTTTTAATCAAGTGTTTTTTTTTCTTGTATAGATTTTTTTAAAATTAATTTTTATGAACGTTTTCAGACTTTGGATTTCCATTCATTCACTGTTGCACTTTTCTCCCTGTCCACTCCTCTACCCCATTTCGCTCTTCTCTTTGAGAAGTAAAAGAAAAGTTCCTTGTTACACAATTCCTCCCTATCATGAATTTTTTAACAGTGGCACCTGATTGCTAACTGGTGGTAAAAGGCCCGTTTGGGGCCCTGGGCAGGTGGTGAAGTGTTAAAATGATGGAGCAGGCAAATGGACCCCTTACGTGGCTCAACTCTAATCTAAACACAAGAGCACACACAATCTTAAAGGCAGAGTTAAAGGCTTTGCAGACACTCAACTTGCTTCCTCTGTATCAGACAATGTTCCACTGCTATTCGTAATGCTTGAAAAAGTAGGTCAGCAAAAGAGAGGAAGACCCTCAACTCCACAGGCTAACAATGGCTGTAACAATGTGCTTCAACACAGTAGAGATTATGGGGCCGGCACAGGGTTGGGCAGGATGCCATTCTATCATAATGGGGTTGCTGAGAGTTAGAACAAACCCCATGGTGTCTAACAACAGAAAGATGGCTTGCGTGCCCCCAAAACAGCTATAGGAATTTTTCTGAAATGGACCACACCCCTCTTTCCAAAAGAGCACGGTCAAACTCTTAGGCACTTGTCAATTCAGCAAACCGGGTGGAATTATCCACTTCTGAACCCTGGGTGCCAAGTGGCCTGCAACCAGTCGCCCTCAATTCTGAGCCATGACACCCCATGTGTGTCACAGTAGAACAGCACACCAGGGGTTTCAATGGCTGACTTTCGAGAAATGCATGAAACTTCCCTTTGTAATACAGTAGAAGAGTTTCTAGATTCTGCGAGCTACTCTCTGCTTCCAAGAGCATCCAAGCAGCTTGTGTCTCATTTGTTGCTGCTGCCAGCGTTGCCAGTGACCTCAGAGAACACGCGCTCGATTGTCCTCTGTTGATGCAGCATGCCCCCCCCCACCCCGGCTTGGGGATGACCTTGCCTCTTTCTGAGGCTGCTTCCCACTAACTGAGCTCTTAGCTCTCATGGGGGCACAGTGCAAAGGATAAGCCACAAACTCTGTTGCCCCTCCCACATCGCCTGTCTTCCTGCAGCCCCTCCCACACCACTGCCCGCTTTGAGGTAACGTACGTCATTATATGAGTCACACTAGCCCTGTGTTCTGTTCGAGAGCACATGTCTGTGGAGCCCAAATATGTAATTTGTCACCATTTTTATCCCTTGCCCCTCTTGGGACCACATGGTCTGTGGTGTCCTTTCCAACACATGGTGGTCCTCCCCTGGGTTTCGAAGGCTAGAGGAAACTGCCCAACCCAAGCCCCTTTACCTTCAGGTTTCTTGTTAGGTCCTGTCGAGTTGACTACGACTTGTAGTGACTGTATGAACTGCAGATCAGAACGCGGCCCTATGCTGCGCACCCTCACCATCTCCACCAAGCTCAGCCAGGCTTTGAGGTCACTGTCAATCATCTCGGTCATTGTTAGAGTGAGTAGCTCGTGGCACAGTGCCCCACACCCAAGCGATTCCGACCCATGATGACCTCGGTCGGGTTGCTAAGACTACTTCACAGGAGGATGTTTCTGGTTTTAAACCAACAACCTTTTGGTGGGCAGTCCACTACGCACAACACCTGCAGGGCTCAGCCTCGTTGGATATAGCAGGCGCTTCTGTTTATGCTTATTGAGTGCAATTGCCCACTTCAGGGGTCTTTCTGGGCTTCTCTGAATCCAAGGAATGGCTCCGTCCTCTGGGTCCCCTCTGCCATTGGAACCCACATGTCCTCTCATCTACCATCAGGTACCATGCTGACTGGCTTTACCCTGATTCCCCTGGCACAAGCAGAATTTGAACTTACAGAGGAAAGAGAACTTGTTCTCAAAAACACTGCCTCCTCCTCTGAGGTACAGAGTGGAGCTGAACCTCACTGGTGCATAACCTTGACCAACCTCTAGCTCAGAAGTGCCTGAGGGTGAGGAATGGGCAGTTCATCCATCCATCCATCCATCCATCCATCCATTAGTCCGTCCATCCATCCATCCGTCCGTCTATCTGTGTCCATTAGTCCATTCATCCATCCATCCACCCGTCCAACCATCCATCCACCCTTCCTTCCATCTATCATCCATCCTTCCATCCATCATCCATCCATCCATCCATCCTTCCTTCCATCGATCCTTCCTTCCTTCCATCATCCATCCATCCATCCATCCATCCATCCATCCATCCATCCCTCCTCCCGTCCTTCCGTCCTTCCGTCCTTCCTTCCATCCTTCCACTCATCATCCATCCATCCATCCATCCATCCATCCATCCATCCATCCATCCATCGCCCACTGTCACTCAGCCTGACCTCTCTGACTGCCCCTGGTTTCGTGGCCCCTGTACTGAGTCTTTGCTAAAGAGAAGGGTCTGTGGTTGGTCCAGGAGTACCTTCAGGTACGAGCACCAGCATTCACTCTTTGCTGTGGTTTTACTCACTCACCTGTTACCTGCATGTGCCCAGCTTTCAGGTTTACTGACTGATGGAAGGAGAAGTAGACCCTGACTGTATGGAGATCCATTCAGAGACTTTGCATTGGTTCTGTGCTGGGTGTGCAGGACATTTTCATAGTGTTCTTATGGAAGATCCCTGACTCTTTTAACAGTGCTTGTTTTCAAGTAAGCAGGTAATGAAACGGGTGAGGAGGGGTCTGCACATGCTGGGTTAAAGGATGCCGCAGCACAGGGGTGAGAACCTGGGACAGCCCAGGGGCGATACAGGCATGCCTCCTTTTGCTGTGCTCTGCAGACACTACACTCTTCCATGCAGTTCAAGATTTGTGGCAACCCTGCATCCAGCGAATCTCCTGACCACAGTTTTTCTAGTACCACGTGGTCACTTTGCATACCTAGGACTTACATTTTGGTAATAATCCTCCCAATATTTCAAACTTTTCATTAATGTTGTACACTTTGTAGGCTGCAGGGTACACATCCATTGCTGTTGAGCCGATGTAGCAACAGTGCTTCTGATTCCCAGGGGCCTGATCTTCGTGGAGCGAGAACGTTCACGGTCTCCCTCGGAGCAGCTGGTGGGTTCACACGCCGACCTTTTGTTCAGCAGCACGGCATGGAACACTCTCAGCTGTCAGAACCTCTTCTATTACAGTGGAGCATCAACATGATTTTTATACACATTCAACTCAACTCATGAGGTTGTGTCAGAACCAACTCACAGCTGACTTTCCAGTGGGTTTGCAGAGGCTGTAAATTGTGTGGGAGAAATCACCCATCTTTCTCCCATGGAGCTGCTAGTGGATTTGAACCACATGCCTTTGGGCTTGCAGTGCAACTCCCCACCACTAGGCCACCAGAGCTACGTTTATATGCACTTGTTGTACCATTAAGTCAGAACTGACTCACTGCTGAGCCTCCAGTACATTTTCAGGTGTGATAAATTGCACGAGAGGAGATTGCTCTTCTTTGCCTAGCTGGTGGATTTGAACCATAGACTTTTGGGTTGGCAGTGTAACTCCTTACCACTAGTCCACCAGAGCTCCCTGTATACATGCATGAGGAAGCCACACTTTCCTGTGCTCCCTTTATTGCAATGTTCCCTTTATTGCTGTGGTCTGGGAAGGAGCTGGCTGGTGTGCTTGGTATGCCTGCATTAACCTCCCAGATGAAAGGAGATGGACCACACTGTGTGGGAGTCCCAAGGTAGGCCAATAAGACAGATCAGTGAGTATGGCCTCTACACTGGGGACTTTGGGGACCAGGAGGGTGAATCTGCGAGCAAAGAGACACTCAGGGGCCCAGTTCCCATCATGCTCTCTCTGGGAACTGCCTTCGCTGTGAACATTGCACGGACTTACCACAGGCTCAGGGAGTCGGACCACCGCTGGATCGTGTCCCTACTCAGCGCGTTGATGACCGTGTCTATTTCACCGTCTTCGGGGAGGATGAAGAAGACTGTCTCGTTGCCGGTGTAATCCAGCTGGATCACCTCACAGGGGAGCACGGAGTCCTTGAAGTACCTGACGGTGTTCAGCTGTGACATGAAGGGCACCTTCACGGCGCTCGTGCTGTTCACGTGGAAGTCCTCCTCCAAGGTTCGCTCCGGGTCGAAGGGGTGCGCCCAGGTGCCTAGGGAAGGGAGAGGGGCTTGGAAGGAGGACCCAGCCAGCGCTTTGTGGAGTAGGGCCTTTGCACCGGGAGGGGTACAAATGGCATCTCCTGTGTGGCCCGGGCTGGGTAAGAATACTCCCTCAAAGCCACCTGCTCCCATGCCCACCGGCCCCAGATCCGCTGGATCCTCTTCCAGGGTGTTGTCATATGATGAGAAACCCGCCACGCTCCCAGAAGGGACACCCTGTTACTCCTATGCAGCTCTGGTGGAGGAAATGGTTCTTTAGGGGGTGCCAAACCTGCCTGGCAATACTGTGCAGCCTCTGAACCCATTTGAGGTCTGTGTCAACTGCTTCCAAGTTGGTGCCAACTTGCAGGGGCTGCTTTTCAGAAGCAGATCATCAAGCCCTAGTTCCTAGTCTGCCTAAGATCTGCTGGAACCCAGCCATCGTCACCACAATGCTCACCGCTCCACCAGGGGATGCTGGTGGCTGTGTGGGTGCGTTGTCTGGGAAGCTGGGACTCCTGGGTGGGAGGGAGGGTTCAACCACTGAGACACCATCACCCAACCACCCAAATTTAGACACGAGTTGAGTTCTGCTTGAGTCGCCTCTGCTCTGCAGTGGAGGGTGAAGTGTTCCCTGGTTCTGGAGGTGACTGAGAACTCTGAGCACATCGAGTCTCAGGTGTCCTGCTTGCCGTGGACCTCTAGTCCTGAGCCCTGGTGAGCTCCGGGCTGGTTCTCATTCGTCCCTCTGCCCATGGCGCAGGCTCTGTGCACTGTGTGCCCTAAACCCTCAGTTCAGCCAGGCTTTGTAGTGGCTACTGTTGGGCACCAAAGGGAAGGACTGGAGGAAGAGGCCAGGGGGAGCGATGGGAACTCGGGAACTGATGCCTGGCTCTCCGTTGCAACCTCTTTGACCCTAGGATACTGACTAAGCGCAAACTCAGCCTGTCTCACAAGTGAGCTTATTTAACGACTCGGACAGCGGGATGTCTGTGTCCACAGAACTGGAGGGGGTGCTTTCCAACTAAAAGTGAATGGTGATTAACTTGCTGTCACTATTCTTCAAAATGAACAGGGTGATGAGGGATTACCTTTCAAGAAGATGTAGTTGGCCAGAATAAGGTTGGCTGTGCTCTCCAGCTCTGGGAACAAATCCTCAATCTTGCCCTGCGTCTTATTCCTGATGTACTCGTTGATCTGTCTGCTGGCGTTGACCCAGTCCTGGAAGTCCATGGCCACGGCCTCAGACTGGTAATAGTGTTTACTGTTTTCAGAGAAGGACTCCAGCGGCTCCAGGTGGTGGCCAAGGAACAAGGCATTGCCCATGGTCATTTCAAAGCTGGTGTCCGACTCACCCAGGAGATGGTGAAGGTTCTGGAAGCCCTGGTGGATCTCGACCTCAGGCGTCTCTGTGAGGTTGAAGCCCAGGCCCTGGAAGAGCTGGGTCCTAGTGGACCCCCTGGCACCCAGGGACAGCACGGCCAAACCCATGGAGATGCTCACAGGAGAGATGAAGATATTCCTGCCTGGAGCCAAGACCACCAGCTGCTTACACAAGCTGAAGGCAAAGTCAACATTGGCGGGGGCCAAGCCACGGTGAGGGGTCCTCTGGTCGTTATCAGAGATGGGGTCCTCAGCCTGGACAGCCCACAGGCCACTGGTGGACAGCCAGAAGAGGCAGATGTATGGAATGAGAAGCATTGCCCCAGAAAACCAGACCCTGCAAGTCAGAAATGGTGGTTAGAGGGTGCAGCCACTCATCCAGTGGGACAGAGGGGAGGAGACCCTGACAGACCCTTCCCTTCTCACCACACACACACACACACACACACACCCCGCTCCTTCAGCCATGAGGGCCTGGGCGTGGCCTGGGCCAAGTCAGCCAGTGCTCTGGGCCTCAGTTTCTCCATCTAAAAATGTGCGTTCTCTCTGGGTACAGTTTATCAAGGTCCATCCAGTCATCTAAGTCCCTGGATATAAGTATGTTGCTACATGTTGTATTGCTATTGTTATTGTTGTTGTTGTTATTGTTATGTACTGTTCAGTCAGAACCGACTCACAGCTGACCCTCTTGTGAGTTTTCAGAAGCAGTAAATCACACGAGATTGCCTTTCTCCTGCAAAGAAGCTGGTGGATTTGAACTACCTGCCTTTGGGTTGGCAGAGCAGTTCCTTATCACTGAGCCACCAGAGCTCCCTAACTATGAATGTAAACCCCCCTCTCTAGCTGTGCTGCAGAAGAGAGGCCCGGCAAGCGGTCTGCTTCGTGAGCAGACCCCACGGGGGCAGCTCCACTCTGTACCACACCGGGTTGTCACAAGTGGGAATCACCCTGACAACGATGAGTTTGGTCTTGATTTTGTGCAGGGGCTCGGCACTGAACTAGGAGCAATGCTGCATCCTTGCAAATAGCCTTACCCATAAAGCAGCTATTTCCTGAGCGTAGGCAGGTGGGAGCTGACGCTTAGGGCAAATGCCCACCCACCGTCCAAATAAGGAGCTGATAGTTAACTACCGACCACAAGGTGCGCCAGGGAATCACCCACGCAGCCTTAACCGGGATGTCCGGGAACCTCCCATCTGTGGGACCCCCTCTCTCCCTGGAGGGCCTGGAAATGCATGTTTTAGACAGGTACCAACAAGACCGCAGTGCAGCCTGAAGTCTTGGAAGCTCTGTTCTGCTCTACAACATCCCAAAGTCCCTTCTCGGATATATTTCAAAACAAAACCCTCAATAAAGACAAGAGAAGCACCCCTTGGCTCCCCTCAGCTTCCCCCAACCAGCACATCCGCTATCACCTGGAAGCCAGGTCTGCGCTCTAACCACAGTTGCTGTGTCTCTGGGTTGTCAGAGCAAATCTCCATTTTGCTGGGTTTCATGGCGATTAAATGGGATTTGATTCCCAGCAACATGCTGCTGTGTTGCCTGGTGCCACTGAGGCAGAACTCCTCCAGGGGGCTTTTCAGAGATTGTGAAGTGCATGGCAGGAGATCACCCATTTTTCTCCCAAGGAGCAGCCGATAGCTTAGTATTCATTCCCTCCTTCAGTTTTCTCTGTATAGAAAAATCAATAATCATACTCTCCTTGCCCAAGGAAGAATTCAAGATACTAAAGAACTGAATAGAAGATTCCAAAGGGCAGCACGGGATGACAAAGCAAAATATTACAATGAAAAGTGCAAGGAGCTAGAGTTGGAAAATCAAAAGGGCCAAACTTGCTCAGCATTTCTTAAGCTCAGGGAACTGAAGAACAAATTCAAACCTCGAGTTGCTATAATCAACGATGCTTTAGGCAGAATATTAAATGATCCAGGAAGTATTAAAAGAAGATGGAAAGAAAATACTGAGTCACTGTATCAAAAGCAATTGGCAGACACAGAAGAATTTAATGAAATAACATATAAGCAAGAGCCTATGGTAATGAAGGAAGAAGTTCAGGCTGCTTTGAAGGAAATAGCAAAAACTAAGGCCCCAGAAATAGATAGTACACCAACTGACGCATTTCAGCTAACAGAAGCTGACCTGGATGTACTCACCAAGTTGTGCCAAGAAATCTGGAGAACAACCACGTGGCCAACTGACTGGAAGAGATCTACATTTGTTCCCATTCCAAAGAAAGGTGACCCAACAGAGTATGGAAACTATAGAACAATATCATTGCTTTCATATGGAAGCAAGATTCTACTGAAGATTATCCAAAAACAACTGGAACAGCACATCAGCAGAGAACTACCAGAAGTCCAGGCTGGGTTTAGAAGGGGTCGTGGTACTAGGGATATTGTTGCTGATGTTAGATGGATCTTAGCTGAAAGCAGAGAATACCAGAAGAATGTCTATCTGTGTTTCATTGATTATGCAAAGGTGTTTGACTGTGTGGATCATAACAAGCTTTGGCTGACTCTGAGAAGAATGGGAATCCCAGAACACTTGATCGTGCTAATGCGAAACCTATACTTGGACCAGGAGGCAGTCGTCAGAGCAGCAAAGGAAACACTGCATGGTTCAAAATTGGGAAGGGTGTATGCCAGGGATGTGTCCTGTCTCCATATCTTTTCAACCTGTACGCAGAACAGATTATCAGGGAGGCTGGGCTCTATGAGGAGAAATTGGCATCAGGATTGGTGGAAAATCTATCAACAATCTGCGTTATGCAGATGACACAACGCTGCTTGCTGAAACTGAGTAGGACCTGAAGCACTTGCTGCAGAGGGTCAAGGACTGCAGCCTTCAGTATGGACTGAGGCTCAATGTCAAGAAGACAAAGATTCTCACCACTGGACCAATAGGCAGCATCAGGATGGATGGTGAAGAGATTGAGATTGTTCACAGCTTTAGTTTGCTTGGCTCCACGGTCAACACTCTTGGCACCAGTAGCCAGGAAATCAAAAAACTTATTGAGATGGGAAAGTCTGCTGTTAGGGACCTCTCCAAAGTACTGAAGAGCAATGGTGTCACTCTGGAGACTAATGTGTGTCTGATACAGGCCATGTTCTTCGCAATCACCTGTTATGCATCAGAGAGTTGGACAATGACTAAGAAGGATAGAAGGAGAATTGATGCCTTTGAGCTGTGGTGCTAGAGAAGAGTATTGAATGTACCATAGACTACCAAGAAAACAAACAGATTCATACTGGAGACGGTTAAACCAGGCTGCTCCTTGGAGGATTCTGGGGCTTTGTCTGACATACTTTGGGCATGTTGTAAGGAGGGACAGGTCCTTGGAGGGGGACATCATGCTTGGGAGGGTGGAGGGATGGCGCAGGAGGGGAAGACCCTCTATAAGGTGAATTGATTCAGTAATCGGGATTGGTGTGCCAGAGGCAGTGTGATTAGCACAGGATAGAGCAGAGTTTAGGGCTGTTGTTCATAGGGTCTCTATGAGTCGACTGGATGGCACATAGCAACAACACCACCACCTTGCCTATTATGCAAATGATGGCCTTTTTATGCACAGAGCAGCTGCTTGCTATTTGTTTGCCAACTGTTCTCTTCCCCTAGAGGTATTTTCTTAAGTGCTTGCTAAGCCAATTTTGAAGCATGTTGCTATAAAAAATATTAGCATAGCACAGAAATACCTCCCAGGAGGAGAGAGAACTATCATGCTGTTATTTGTGTGAAAATACAGCACACCCATTAAAAAATCATGGTCTAATTTTTTCTCCCTATGTCTGTCCCTTCTCCTCCCGTTTCCATGCACAGCTCAAGGGCTAGGTGTTGTTGCCGGGAGTGACAGTCCCTCTGCCTCCTGCAGCTAGTGGCATCTTTGGGACCAGACTCTATAATATCCTTCGGAGTTTCAGTCTCATTGACTGACCTTTGTTCTTCTGAGAAACTTTGAGTGATCTCTGCTGTCTACATGTGTGATATGGCCCAGTGAGTCCTCCTGAGCTGGTCCCTGGCACAGCTTTGACCCCAGCCTCAACTCCAGCCCATGCCAGCTTCAGCACAGCCATGCTGGGCTGCCTGCCCCACCCACACCAGGCTTTCATCTCTTTGCCAAGGTCAAGACAGGTTGCTTCTTTAGACTTTACTGAGCTGGCTTTGGACCAGGCATCTAGAGACAAAGACTGACTTCAGTACAGCCCATGTGCCTCCCAGGGAGCTGGTACCCCCTCTGCCTTGCCAGGCTCACTCCCTCCTGTCCTGTGGGACTCAGGCCCCTGGCCATGTGGGGGAGCTCCTTCTCCAGTGTTTCTCCCCATCTCTGCCCTTGCCAATCTGCAGTGGCACCTCAGCCATCACAGCTGCACTACCTGAGCGTGGGTCACATGCAGCACAGGGCCTGGGGCCAGATGGACCTGTCACAGTGCAGCTCCTCCCTGGCTCCCCCCTCGCTGGCCCTCCCTTCCCCGCTCCCATCTCACGTCTCCTGGGAGATTCTCTCAGCCACCTCCTTACTGTGCTCATCCCCCCAGGAGTCCTGACGGTACAGTGATGAAGAGCTCGGCTGCTAACCAAAAGGTCAACAGTTCAAACCCACCAGCTGCTCTGAGAGGAAAAAGATGCTTTGGGGGAAAACTTCCTTAAAGATTTCATCCAGCATTGGAAACATTATGGGACAGTTCTGCTCAGCCCTACAGGATCACTTTAATGTTTGGATCAAAGTGTTTACTCATGTCACCAGATTGCTGTGAGTGCCAGTCAGAGCCATTAAAAATGCACATGTCACCTCACTTAATAGGTAGTTTGGGGCCCATTTTACAGAGGAGGAAACTGAGATAGAGTGGCCTGTACAAAGCTGGGACTGACCCTGGTGTCTGTCTTCAGAGCCTGTCCCATGCTGCCTTTCTCTCCAGAGAGCGAGATGGTGCATGAAGAAGCACCTTGGAAATGACCCAGCAATGCCCAAGTGCACAGAAGCAACATTATTCATGAACTCAGTTTTAAGCACGTCTTTTTTGGTCCTTCTTTCTGAAGCCAAAGCCCCTCTGCTCTCTTTATTCTCCTGAACCACAGGGGACCAGGCCCTCTGCATTTAGACTTCTGACAATTTTAGACACATGCACACACATATTTTATCTGCGTCTCTGCTAGTCATCGATCTAGGAAACAAGCTGCAGTGGCTGCTCTGCTCTGGAGTCCCGCCAGGAGCAAAGGGGCACCCTCTCATGGCCATTACTCACGATGGGCTGTGGGCCGTGGCTGCTGCTGCTGGCTGGGCCCCACTGTCCTGGTCCCGTCTGTCCTGGAGCCTCTCTGGT